ATATGTACAGTGATCCCTCGTTTATCGCGGTAGATGCGTTCCAGACCTGGCCGCGATAGGTGAAAATCCGCGAAGTAGGGACACCATATTTACAGTACAGTGTCAGAACCCAAGTTCCCAGACCAGCCTCTTCCAGCTAGCCGGCCTCCACTATGGACCACAACTCCCAACATGCCCCTCGCGGGGATTCCCTCCACGTCGCACTTACGTCACAAACCGCGGCTATAAACGGAAGTCGCCTTTCCAGCTCACCACTCAGTCATCGTTTCTTCAGATTCATGATCAGAGTTTCCAACCTACCGATCCATCCCACAAACTATCAGCTCATAGTAAGTTATCTTACTTACTTCTGGAAAGTAAGATAACTTCGATGACGCTCGAAAGCTCGGGGGTTTCCTAGATTAATCGTGAGCCGGCGTTTCACCGACACTATCACTTCTGCGTCTGTGAAACCACGCTCCCTACAAGCTCAAATCCCGAATCCAGCCGACCAGTCTGACATACAGTACTTGTTTTTTACTTGGTTTTTTTATAGTTTTATTACAAAAAGTGCATTTTATGATGAAATTGATGAAAAAAACAGGAATTTCTTGATATTTCGCATATAAAATGCCGCGAATCGGTGAAAAATACCACGAATCGGCGAATTTCCCTTGAATAAGGCTCCAAAGAAAAATCCGCAAAGTCGTGAATCCGCGATAAACGAACCGCGAAGTAGCGAGGGATCACTGTGTACAGTTTATCTCCACCATGGCTCTGCCGTCATCTAAAAATAATGCTCAGCTGTAACAGTCCTAACCTGTTCCAGCCTGCCTATGTCTCTGTACAAACCTAGAGTGTTGGGATTAGCCTGGCCTATACTAAGCCCAGCCAATAGTAGACTGGCAATGGCGACAATGGTGCATGGCTAGTACAACCTGCATAGCTAAATCCTCTGCTACTTTACTGTTTATCTAGATTTTGTGGCTAGATATGGGTTTTTGCAGCCCAAAAGGCTGGGCATTAGCTGCAGATATAATAGTTAAGAGTATCTCTATTATTCCTCATTCAGAAAGCTTCAGATGAGTCTTGGGTAAGTCATATGCAGTCTACATGCACTGTTAGCCAAAGGATAGCAGGTGACTCCATGGGAACATTTGCAAAGTCTTGCCAAAGACACATCAATCCAAATAACGTCCAGTTTTTGTACCACATCCATGACACAGCAGCTCCGTGTTGGGTTTTTGAGGAGGGCTATGCTGTAGGGTGACCAGATACGCCAAACGTGGGACAACGTGAAGTTCCAATGAGGAAAACAACAAACAAACACAAACAAAACGTGTATTCTGCCTTTTAGCCGTAACATCACTGTAACATATACATACAATTATTATTCTTATTATCATCATATATTTCTTGTATATATTTTATTTGAATTCAACATGAGCAAGCATACGGCAAAAGCTTTGCAATTTCACAGTTCCTCTCACGTTACCACAACATGACTCAGGCTCTTCGGGCCTTCTGTAGTGGCTCTGATCATTTTAATAATATAGATAGGCCCACAATAACAAAAAAATGCAGGTTTGAGCAGCTTTTCAGTGTTTTCATTGAATGTTTTCCACAACAGAATGCCAGTAAAAGAACCAGTAATATTTTATAGATCTATTTATGTTTATTTTTAATTAATTTTCCACTAAAATTAGCATTTCATTGAAAAAAATACCCATACTTTTGAGCTATTTTTTGATAAGTCAGAAACAAAACATTTTTTTAAACATGGCAACACATCTCTTCTAGATTTTAGGTGAGAGAATAAACATCAGATTCTAATCTCTAAAAAATCAGATCTAATCTAATAATAGTTTCTTAGAGTTGCTGTTTACCTCAAATTTTTGAGAATAAGTGATCAAAGCTTCCGTTTATTAGCATAGCATAGCATAGCATAGCATAGTTTATTTATACAGCACGTTTAAAATGCAGCATGGGAGCTGCCCAAAGTGCTGCACAGGCTAAAACAAAACACACCCATTACAAGGAGCTAAAACAAAGGATAAAAATCTCAATCAAAGGCAGATAAAACATGATGAATACTAAGAACACAATTAAAACAATGATACAATAAAACACTAAAACGAGTCACTGTCTAAAAGCCAAAGTGTAAAAGTGGGTCTTTAAACGAGATTTAAAAACCGCCAGAGACGGAGCCTGCCGAACTCCAATGGGCAAAGAGTTCCATAGCTTTGGGGCAGCATGCACAAATGCTCGATCTCCCCGCGATTTGAGTCTCATCCGCGGCGTGTACAGCAGCAAAAGGTCAGCCGACCTCAACGTGCGAGTGGGCACATATGGAGTTCTTCACTGTGCTTTAAGGGGCTCAGCGTGTACGCAGGTATCTGAAACCGCAGCACCTTGTCTCTGTTAGAACCTCCATTGTGTTTGTCATGGACCTGTCTATTTACTGGAAAATCTGCTTTGGACCTCTTCATGTCAGACTCCGCGCCGAGACATTCAAATTCAAATTCAAAAATACTTTATTAATCCCAGAGGGAAATTGATTGCTGTAGTAGCTCAGAATAATGATAATGCCGCCATGTCTGACATCATCATAGGGAAGATGAATTAGACTTTTCCTGACACACCTGCTCTCTTTTCGTGAAGGCAGCAGGTTTGCATTAAAAAGCACAAAGACATGAAAAAATGACTCAGAAACTACAAAGACTCTTTCGAGTATCTCTGAACACATTTAATTCACGAGTTTACAGCATTTTCTCCTCCGTGCTCACTCACGCTTGTTTTGGCGGTCCAGACGCGCTCCACACACGCTCCGGATCTACGATAAAGTCCCGCCTCCGTTTGATTGACAGCAACAGGCAGATTTCTCCACAGTTTCTTCTATAAGATTGAAACTCGAAACGGGAAACTGTCAATTATGCGGGACATGAGTTTTAATTAGCGGGACACGTGAAAAGTAATGAAAATGCGGGACCGTCCCGCACAAAGTGGGACATCTGGTCACCCCTACCACGTTGTGCTAAACCAACTTCTGCATGTTACAATCCATTGCTAGCATACAGCTAATGTTGCATTAGGCATTCAGAAACACCATGTTAGCGTTTCTTCCTGGTAAAATTAATGTTTTACAAGACAAATAGCATTCCCAATTAGAGAGTAAATAAACCCTGTAATGTGATCGATTACTGATTAATGAACAGACACTTTTTCTGTTTTAGGTGAGCCATATGCTCATCGGTTAGCTATTAAGCTGTCAAAAAGGACAGATGAAGGTTGTTGAGGCTGCTGAAGGTGTGGTTCCATTCCTTGCAGTCCAAAATAAAGTTCTTTAGTGAGTCGTGGTTGAGCACGAAGGTCTTCAGGGAACTCATTTTTCTGTTTGGAGGGTGGGTAAGTGTGGAGGAGGGTGGGATTTCCAATCATTTCAACTGATATTGTTTATTGAAGATGTGGTTGAGCTTGAAATTTTAGAATGTTTTATCGGTTTTCAGCACAAGTGATCACAAAATCTCCTAAACTGCTACCAATGTTAGAGATCTTTGGCTGTCGTTGCTGAGCTTTTATTGTGTAACAAATCAGATCCAGCAGTAAAACACTGACGTGGTTTCCAGTAAAGCCTGTGGTGATGCTGGGTCTTAACCAGACCAAAGTTAACCTTGAGTGTCTGAGCTGCTCACCTGGAAACTGATAAGGATGTAGAGCAGATCTTCTTCAGCTTCTGTTTTACACACACACACACACACACACACACACACACACACACACACACACACACACACACACACACACACACACACACACACACACACACACACACACACACACACACACACACACGCACGCATGCACGTACGCACACACACATACATACACACACACACACACACACAAACATGCATACACACACACACACACACACATACACACAAACACCCGTACACACACACACACACTCACACACACACACACAGACGCACACATGCACACACACACATGCACACACACAAACACACACACACCTGCACACAAACACACGTACACACACACACACATGCACGCACACACACACATGCACACAAACACATGCACACAAACACACGTACACACACACACACACACACAAACACACACATGCACACAAACATGCAAACACACACACACGCACGCACGCACACACACACACACATGCACGCACACACACACATGCACACAAACACCCGTACACACACACACACACACACACACACACACACACACACACACACACACACACACACACACACACATGCACGCACACACACACATGCACACAAACACACGTACACACACACACACACACACACACACATGCACACAAACATGCAAACACACACACACGCACACACGCACACACACACACACACACACACACACACACACACACACACACGACTGTGGTTGGTTGTGTGTGTTACTGCAGACAGATACGTTTCTGTTGCAGCACAGGAAGCGTTGCCTCCTCCTACGCTTACAGGAGTGTATCGGCGGCTGCAAACACACGCTAGCACATTCTTGGCAGAGCTGAGTTGTTTCAGTTTGCTTGTTGCAGCGTTGCCTTGGCACACAGCCTTCACCGTCTAACGGCCGATCCTCCCTAAAGTGAGGTAAGCTTTGACTTGTAGTTGGCTGTTTTCCCCCTGGACTGCATTTATTTTGTTCACAGGTGTTTTTTTACGAAGCTGTACAGTTTCTGAGTTAGAGGTTCCTCGCTGGTTGCTTGTTTAGGCTGCCCTGAACTCTGCCTTTGCAGAAGAACTTTGTCCTACAAATCTTTGGTAGTTTAACTTGCAGACAGTGCAGGACAGGTGGGTATAGACTTCAGCTCTGGTATATCTTGCTTCACACAGGAAGTGAACCACTCAGATCGTATCCTCTTCCCTTCGGTTAATGCCACTGCTACAGTCTTTGCTCTAAAGCATCCTCGGTGCACAAACGGTTTTATTTTAGTTTTTATTCACGTCTTTCAGGGTCAGAGGTCAGCCTGAGCCATAGCAACATGTCCGAGACTGCAAAGCTCCACCATCCCAGCCCTCAAGCCAAGGGGGACAAGAGCCATGGAGGCGACTTCAGCTACGTGGGCATTGATGCTATCCTGGAGCAGATGAGGAGGAAGGCCATGAAGCAAGGCTTCGAGCTCAACATTATGGTTGTGGGTGAGTGAAGAACTTAAAGCCATTTATCTGAACCTAAAGCTGTAACTAACAACCACACACCCTACAAATGACCTAAGAATGGTGCGTGAAACAGTTACTGTGAAGAAAATGAACAAACAAGCCCGAGGTTGAAAACCTCTAAAATCTTCACTAGCACAGATGTCTCTGATTGGGCTTGAAGCTGAGGTGATTCACAAAAATGGGACTCAGGACTAGGGATGGGTACCTTTGACATTTGAATCGATTCGGTACTAATTCCCGGTACCTAGGAATCGATACCGGTACTTAACGGTACCAATTTTCGATACTTTTGAGTGTTTATTATTTTAATTCTCTTTTATAATTAAATATATATTTTTCTCAATATATAACCATATTTGATAAATATCACGATAAATAACATACAACTGTTTGTATTTTAACATCGTCCTTGTAGTTTTATAAGCTGATAATTAAACTGAAGCAAACATCTTTACTGTGAACTAAATTTACTGTGTATCTTCATTCCTTTTGCCGTCCTTTTTCATTTGATTTTTCCTACTGGGAAGTTAGAATTTCCGAGGAGAAAGCGAACGCACCGTTAGCTGATAACAATGGTGGCAATGGAAGCTAACATATCAAGCTAACGTTATCTTAAACAGTTTATTTAACTGCTGGAACAGATTAAAACGATGATGCCTCACACTTAGATCGTTGTCACTGGTTTCATCTTCACCCAATCACCCGTCGCATTTAGTAAAGTGAAGCCAAACTTTAGAGCGCGTTCATGTTCTTCCAGTCGTAAATTTGGAGTTCCGAGGAGAAAGCGAACGCACCATTAGTGAAACGGAAGCTAACAAATCAAGCTAACGTTATCTTAAACATTTTATTTACGTACCGGAGCAGATTAAGATGAGAATGTCTCACTTGGATCGTTGTCGCTGGTTTCATCATCACCCAGTTACCCATCACATTTAGTGAAGTGGACCCAAGCTTTAGCGTGCGTTCTTTCTACCGTGCTGCTCTGTTTACAACTCGATCACAGCGAGCGACGACATAACGCTCTTGCGCATGCGCAGCTGTCTAGGCAAGTTCTCGTTGTGAAGGACGGGTACCGAAACGAGGCACCGTTTGAAATGACGTGAATCGGTGCTCAGTCGGTACTGTGGAATTCGGTCGGTACCTTAAAAAGTACCGAATTCGGTACCCATCCCTACTCAGGACTGAACCTACATCAGTTATGTTCTGCAGAAGTTCAGAGATCATAAAAGTCAGTTCTCCGCTTTCACACTTTAAGCACCAAAGATGTTCACATTTCCAACATGAAACGTCTGCAGCTGCCGTTCGTGTCCCTCCTCTTTGTCTTTTCTTGAGTCAGAAAACATGGCGTCTTCCTCTCCAAGCTCATTTTCTTATACTGCGTTCGTCCAGAATGTAACAAACAAACAAACAAACAAACAAAAAAAAAGCCACTCGAGTGGACAACAGAGGCTGAGATTTGCAGCATAAAGACGATCAGTCTGACAAGCTGACACACGTCAGTGGAAATGTCACGGCGCCATGCTTTACATGAGCAAGGACACACACACACACAAACACACACATGCACGTGTGCGTGTAAATCCCTCTTACATGAACTGATAGCTTCAGTTTTCATCTTGACATTTTCGGTACCTTTCATAATTAGTTTTTTCAGGGCTGGAGCTGGCCACGCCCACCCATCCCCCACTCAGACAGCTATAAGCTGAGAACCTCTGGTATCTGGGAGGGGCTCTGTGAAGAGCTGCTGCTTCTCCTCTAGTGGCTGAAGCGGCGCTCTCTTGCACATAACAGATGGTTCTTTTCTACTTTCCCAGTTTGTGACATAACAAATGGGGAGTTTTTGAATCGGCTCGTTTTAGGCACATAACTCCTAAAAAGACAAAAACAAAACCTGATGTTTTTTTTCCCCACATGATAGTAAATGCAATATAGAACCACATAGCAGCACAGAGGATGTAAAAGACATACCTTGCATTATACACTGTCTGCACCCCCCATCACCACCAAACTAAGGTCACACTCGCTTAATGTTACGTCGGACCGCCTTCGGCTTTGATCACGACACACATTTGCTGTAGCATTGTATCGATAAGCTTCTGCAAAGTCACCAGATTCATTTCCATCCAGCGTTGCATTAATGAGTACGTTTACATGCAGCCAATATCCGGGTTATGATCGGGTTAAGGTCGGTATTCGGGTTTCTGAGTTGATCAGAATAACCCGTTAACAAGCATAAATAGAAAGAGTTACCTCTAACTTGCATAACCTGATTTAAATGCGGACGTTGGGGTAGCGTCAGGACGTGTGGACTACGTCCAGACGCAATATGCGTCATTTCCGGTTCTTCTTGTTCCGGTATCCGTGAAAACAACAACATGTTTCCTAGTTCGGAAGAGATAGCGACCGCGTTTGTTTGCGCTTTAGTTTCCTCGTCACTCCAAAAGTGTGGTGCTGTGCCGCGACTCGTCATGTTGCTCCCAACTTGTTGTTTACTTCCGGTGTTCTGGCGCATACAAGACGTCTCGCTACTCAAAAGACCAAGATTCCTTGTGAACAGAGCATGCGCAGAACACACGCTTTGATGGGGATATCCCGATATGCGTTTACACGACCAAACATTCGGGTTAGAAAAGGGTTACCCCAGGTGTAGTAACCGGGTTTTTGGCGGTGTTTACATGGCCATACGGAACCAGGTTATTGTGAATATTCGGGTTTTAAAAGGGTTACTGGCTGCATATAAACACACTCAATGTTTAACCAAGATCTTGCACTGACGATGGTAGAGTCTGACCGCCGCACAAAGCCTTCTCCAGCACATCCCAAAGATTCTCAATGGGGTTGAGGTCTGGACTCTGTGGTGTCTCATGCTCCCTGAACCACTCTTTCACTATCTGAGCCCGATGAATCCTGGCATTGTCATCTTGGAATATACCCATTCTAAGGCTGGGAAATAAATCTAAAATATATCGTTTTCGAAATTTCTGACTCTTATCTAAAGAATTTTCCCCATGTTGATAAATTTGATTATAAAAAAAAGAAAAGATGTGTGTACTTTGCCAACGTTCATGTCCGTTCAAGAAGCTGTACCACCTTGAGTCACGTGAAAATGTGACTCAAAATGTGTGTGTGTGTGTGTGTGTGTGTGGGGGGGGGGTATTTTATAGTGATAAATATCATGAACCACCTGTCAGATTTTAATTAAACTCAGAACGTTGCTACTAGATGAAGCTGTGTGTGATAACTGTCTAAACCTCTGTTACTCTTCAACATGATCTCCAGCGTGATATTATTTTAATGATAATCACACTTTTAAAAGTTATTCAGGTTTCTTTGCTCCCCTGGTCAGATTTCTCCATCCGGAGTTCCTCAAAGGGGTTGTCGAGGCTTTTTCTGCGTTAGTAAACACACTTAGTGTCATATTTTGCCCAGCCACAGCTGTTTGTAAGAATCTGTTCTTAATCTGTTTTTGTCTTGTTAGAAAAAAATTAGACCTGTTTTTTCTCACTAGCAGCAGGTCAGAGACACCCTCCACCCCCACGGCTTGAGAAGTGTGAGAAGCTGCTGCAGTGGTCACAGCTTGGGTCACGTCAGCATTATTCTACTGCCTCTCTTTAGTCACTTTAAGGTCAGATCGTACATAATAATAATAATAATAATAATAATAATAATAATAATAATACCTGACAGTCCAGTTCAGATCCCAGGTTTCATCACTGCAGTGAAACCTCACACTCCTGCTGAAGGCTGACATGTTTCCACTTGTGGCCCTCCAGATACCTCCAGGAAAACTTAAAGTCATGGAGTGAATATGAATATTGTGTAACACTGTTGGGAAACTTGAGATGATTGAAGAAAAGAGCAGAGTAAAAACCTGAATACAGTTTAATATGATCAGATATGTTTAGTGGGCAGTTGGTGCCGAAGTGTTTTAAAGGTCTGGTCCATTAAGTTCTGAGTACAATTCATTATTTTACTGTGTCTACGGGTGAAACTGGAAGAATTAGAACTTGAAGCAAAAGTTGATCTGTTTCATTTTTCAACCTAAAAGGTGAAACTAAGCTTGGTTTATGCTTGACGCGTTCACTTTCCGCGCGGTGATGCGGCTCGCGGATGGAACGCGCTTCACAACTTGCAGCGTTTATGGTTCATGCGGCTCGTCTCTGCGGTGAGCCAATATTCTCCCAAACTGTAGGGGGCAGCATGGAGCTCTACGGCATGCATCCAACACTACACCATAGTAGAAGTAGAAATTACTGTTTACAACATGGCATTCCAGCATTTTTAACAGCGTTCTCGTCTTTTCCGACAGTGCGAGCTATTTCTCTCCAAGAATTATTAACAACATGTTGATCACGGTGATCTCTGAGAGCTGAATCATACAAATGTCTGTATTTACCAACCTCTGCCATACTAGTTCTTGCCGGTCCGCCATGTTTTTCCGCGTCCGTCCGTCCGCGTGGTTAGAAATTTTCCGAGGTGCGCGTTGCAGAAATTCTGGGCCGTGCGGAGGCGCGGTGGAGGGGCGTGGTTGTTAAAATGACGCAACTTTTCCGCGCAGAACCGTGCGGGCCTCGCGGACGCTTCAAGCATAAACCAACCTTAATCTTTGCAGAACCAGATATTTCAAGCCTTAATTTGTTCTAACTGTGATGACTGTGGCTTACAGCTGATGAAATCCCCACTCAATCTCAGACAATCAGAATATTTTAAAAAGGTTCAATATTCTAAACTTAAATGGTCACACTCTAATCAGCTGGTGAACCCAGAACACCTACAAAGGGTTCGCGACAGTCTAAGATGGATTTGGGACACAAATAAACCTTTGCACCAAATTCTCATTTTTCCAGTTTCCTGCACGTGTCGAGGATCGACAGTGATGCGGCGACACTGAAGTCTTCAAACAGAACAGAGAGAAAAGCATTCTTTAGGCTCAGGATGAGAAAGTAGGCCTGAGAGGTCGAGACAGCTGTGTGTGTGTGTGTGTGTGTGTGTGTGTGTGTGTGTGTGTGTGTGTGTGTGTGTGTGTGTGTGTGTGTGTGTGTGTGTGTGTGTGTGTGTGTGTGTGTGTGTGTGTGTGTGTGTGTGTGTGTGTGTGTGTGTGTGTGTGTGTGTGTGTGTGTGTGTGTGTGTGTGAGTCGTGTCCCTGTGGTCCCATTCAGATGATGCCTCCCCTCAGCTGGCTGACCTCAGCAGTGTGTGTGTGTGTGTGTGTGTGTGTGTGTGTGTGCGTGCGTGCGTGCGTGTGTGTGTCTGTGTGTGTGTGTGTGTGTGTGTGTGGTTTGCTGTGTACATCTGCCCTCTTAGCCCCCACAGGTTGCTCCTCTGACCCTGCCATTTCCTGCTTGGCGTCTGGTCCCAAATACACACACACACACACACACACACACACACACACACACACACACACACACACACACACACACACACACACACACACACACACACACCTAATATTTAGGGCTACTGTCATGTCCACATGGTCTGCATCCGTCTTGCTGTGTGGAAAGATGAGTTCAAGCTCAGGTCTGTGAGTTTTAATCACGTGCGTATCTGACGTGCTAATGTGTCTTTCTGCGTGTGTGTGTGTGTGTGTGTGTGTGTGTGTGTGTGTGTGTGTGTGTTTCAGGACAAAGTGGCCTGGGGAAGTCCACCCTGATGAACACGCTGTTCAAATCCAAAGTGAGCCGTAATAAGTCGGTGCAGACCGACCCAGAGGAGAGGATCCCCAAGACGGTTGAGATCAAGTCCATCAGTCACGGTTAGCCTGCAGCCTCTATGCACCACACATATGGTGTATTAATAATGCAGCGTGTGTGTTTTCACACCGCTCCATCATAATGATGTGTGCATTTCTCTACTGTGAGCAGGCCGGTGGAAAATGGCATGAATATTGTTTCTACTCTTAGATATCGAGGAGAAAGGCGTGAGGATGAAGCTGACGGTCGTCGACACTCCAGGCTTCGGGGATCAGATCAATAATGAAAACTGGTGAGTGACGTCAGAAGGTCCCTCGTTTGTCACTCGTGATCGTCATAAAATAAAAAAAAATTAAAAAAAATCCTGCAGGAAACTTTAATGTTGGTTTGTAAAATTAATTATTCTGCAATCAAAATAAATCTGCCTCATATCAGGACATCTGAAGCTCTTCTCAATTTAGTTTCCTATACCTGAAAGAGGTGCTTTGCTCATGTTTTTAACACATTTGTAGTGGTCTGTTGTGGCAAAGAAAGCCTTGTGGGACAGAAAGCTCCGGTGTGCCTGTTTCAGCACGGAGAACTCAGCCAGAGGAATAAGTGGCTTCAGACAACAGGATTTGGAGTCTAATTTCCTGATATTTGAACATTAAAGATGTCACCATAGTAGGAAATTGAACAATTATCCCTTGACTATTATGGTTGAATATTGTAAAGATGTTATCAGTTGCAACAAACTCATACATTCTCTCTTTATGGTGCTAACACTGTTCTCCGTATGCTGGCTGTGGGCGTCTAGGGGAGCTGGGCTCCTGTCACACAGGTGTTTTACATGCAGCTTCAGCCAGCTGGTGAAACACTTGTTAATGACTATTGGGATATAAATAAGTGTTGTGCAATCTTATCTCAGGGTATGCAGCATAAAGAAAGTAGAATTAATTTGGTTTCCCTCCTCTACTCTCCTGTTTCAGCTGGCAACCCATCATGAAGTTCATCAATGACCAGTATGAAGCCTACTTGCAGGAAGAAATCAACATTGAAAGGAAGAAAAGGATCCCAGACTCCAGGGTGCACTGCTGCATATACTTCATCCCTCCAACTGGTCACTGGTAGGTTTCAGCGTTAAAGAGACAAATCAGCAGGAGTCACTGACATGAGTCCGGCCCGTGGTCCAGCCTCCTGATCAGGCTCCTCGTACCACTTGGTTCAAACTTTCTGCTCTAATGACTCTACAGCACTCGAATATCTACGTGGCAAACACACCTGCTTGACCTCTGTGTGCACAAACCCAACAGCTGTCCACTTAAAATACAAGAACTGTGTCCAACTGTGGGATGACACGCTCATCATCTGCTGATGGCTCCACAGCTGCTGCTTGTGTGTGTGTGTGTGTGTGTGTGTGTGTGTGTGTGTGTGTGTGTGTGTGTGTGTGTGTGTGTTACACTGCCCTTTTGCTGAGAATCAGACTTTATGAATTCAGTCTCAGTCTTTAAATACCCACAGTTCTGATTCTCAATTATGGCGGGGTATGGGGGTCAAAATTAAGACTGCTGCCCAGCAGCAGGAGGCTATATAAATTCTGAAGCAAACTAGCGACCTGATTAATGATAAGCTGGTGCCGGTAACTGAGAGGCTGGCGCTGCTTACTGAGGAATAGCACCTTTACCGGCGTTACTACTAGATACGCTAGGGACTAGCAGCCCTCGGCTGGTCATTGACTAGTTCACACACTCCCTCTGCTGTCTATTAGCATGGATAGGCTAGCGTTAGCCTGGACGGGCTGGTGTTAGCATTGGAGAGGCTAGCCATTAGTGTGCCTAGGCTGACCACTAGCTGGATTTCCTACCTCCTCGACGGACCATTAGCATGGATAGGCTGGCGTTAGCATCAGAGAGGCTAGCCATTAGTGTGCCTAGGCTGACCACTAGCCGGATTTCCTACCTCCTCGACGGACCATTAGCATGGATAGGCTGGCGTTAGCATCGGAGAGGCTAGCCATTAGCGTGTCTAGGCTGGCCACTAGCTGGATTTCCTACCTCCTTGTGGGACCATTAGCATGGATAGGCTGGCGTTAGCATCGGAGAGGCTAGCCATTAGTGTGCCTAGGCTGGCCACTAGCTGGATTTCCTACCTCCTTGACGGACCATTAGCATGGATAGGCTGGCGTTAGCATCGGAGAGGCTAGCCATTAGTGTGCCTAGGCTGGCCACTAGCTGGATTTCCTACCTCCTCGACGGACCATTAGCATGGATAGGCTGGCATTAGCATCGGAGAGGCTAGCCATTAGCATGTCTCAGAGAGTCTCTAGTCAGCTAGTGGCCAGCCTAGGCACGCTAATGGCTAGCCTCTCGAATGCTAACACCAGCCCGTCCAGGCTAACGCTAGCCTATCCATGCTAATAGACAGCAGAGGGAGTGTGTGAACCAGTCAATGACCAGCTGAGGGCTGCTAGTCCCTAGCGTATCTAGTAGTAATGCCGGTAAAGGTGCTATTTCTCAGTGAGCAGCGCCAGCCTCTCAGTTACCGGCACCAGCTTATCATTAATCAGGTCGGTAGTTTGCTTCAGAATTTATATAGCCTCCTGCTGCTGGGCAGTAGTCTTAATTTTGGCCCCCATACCGCGCCATACTCAATAGCGAATCTAATACTCTCAGGCCATGCAACCCAAAGGAAGTGTTGAAATACTGCAACAAAAACTTCTGAAAACATCTAGTCTGCAAACGTGTGGAATTGAAATGACAACATTTCATTGTATTTGTTGTGCTGCTACTGTTCAGTCTGACTGCAGCTGTTGTCTATAAAACTGTGGCCCATTCGTTGACCTCCAAAGGTCCCGGTTACCAATCAGAGAGCAGTTTTCATGTTCGTACACAGAAGTAGTTTTAATCTGTGTTGGCTCTTGTTTGTGGGGTACCCCAAGGCTCTGTCTTGGTCCTCAGCATTTTCTCACTATGTGCTTCACTTACGATCCATCTTCAGAAAACACACGTCAGTTATTTGGTCCTAGTATGTTTTAATGAAGGCAAATGACATTGATTGATTCTTTTGAAGACATTTTACTTCTAATCTGAGGAGCTGACCCGCAAAAGTCTGCAAGATGGAAATCTCTAAAGACCAGTAACTCCACCCCCTAGCCAACGACCGACATTCTCTGATATCGTGTTTCAGCTGACTCTGGATCCACTTGCAACCACATTAGAACAAGTAAAAGGAACAACCGCCCGCCGCCTGGGACCTGATGCTAGTGGAAATGCCTCAGAACTGGGCCGACCAGATTCAAGCCATGCTGATTAGGTGACCATGACCTGGATGACTGAGAACCGATGTATAATAATGTGGTTGTCTAGAGTTGTGCAGCAGAAATCTTAATGGTCTGGCACCACCTTACCTGCCTGATTAATGCAGCTTACACACCAGACTTTATTTCAAATTTGTTTTTGTTTTTAACTTTTCTTAAATACTTTTATTGAAGTACCCGTTTTAGCTTTATCTTCAGCGATTGCTGTTTTAAAATGTTCGGTGGGTCTTAAATGGACTCGGCTTCTCCAAACAAAGCAATCAAAGCTCCAAATGGGACCTTTGTTGGGTGAGATGATCACATTGTTCCTTTCTGAATGCTGTTTCTTGGTTTGGATTTTGGGAAGTTTAGTTTTTCTCCTTATTGTTAATCAGGTCTAGGACTGCAACTAACGATTATTTTCATAATCGATTATAATCGATTAAATCGATTAATTGTTTCAGCTCTAATCAGGTCAAACAACCTTAGCATGGACTCACAACGGCCCTCCTGCATATTTTTAGCTCATCTTCTCCCTAATGTCAAAATATATTAAATGCATTAAGAAGAAGCCAGCTGATGTTTTGAAAACACATCTGTTATCGGCTCCATAGATGTTGCCAGAAGCTTCTGTCATGTGACCTGGGCTCAAGAGCATGGACTGAACTTCCTCAGAACTCACCTGAAAAGTGCTTTTCGTGTTTTTCTTTGAAGCTTTGATCCATTTGTGGACTCCGATGTCATTTTCACTAATGCGGGAGTTCAGTTTGTGGTTTCAGACAGAGGAACTGTGGTCAGAGAAGCAGAACACAGTTCTGGTATCGGAAGGTTTTCTGTCGGCTGCACCCTTCGCTCCAGTCTGACTGACGAAGCTGCACTTTGACTCTCGTCACCTCAGAAGTCATCACTTACTGCAACAGCAAAGAGAGATTTGCTTTGATGATATTTCTACATGTTAGGTTTCATTTTTCTCTTTTCCAAACACTTACGATTACAACCATAAATGGAAACAGGCATGCATGCATGGTTAGACACACACACACTGAACTGTAATGTTACTGTCGGTGCAGCATATGGTCATATGAGGAGGCACATGTGTGCAGTTGGAAGTAAACATGAATGCTCAGTCATGCTAATAATCCAACACACATTCCTGGTTGCATTATTCAGGTTATGCTGAAAATGTCACACACCGATCTGTTTTTCATGTCCACATATGAGATGTTTTGTTGTTTTTTTGTCTTTGATGCATGACTCGCTCCTCCAAACCAGGCTCACTATAGCTCCGTTCTCCTCCTCCCATGTTGAACACGTGCTCACCAGTATTACATCCTGTCTCGATGGTGGTATGCTTGTTGTCCTGCGTGGAGAACAAGCCTGGCTTCCCCTCCGTCCGCCCTTGGGAGTTTAGAACAGGCTGGCTGGGTTTGCACGAGGGTAACTGGAGGATGGCGCTGGGCTCTTGAAGGAAGCATGTGTTGAAGGTCTGCTGAAGGCAATACAGAGACTCGAAAAAGATGACATAGAAACAGAACAAAGATAAAAATGGAATAAGAGCTGCTGCAACAGGAAATGGTGTTTTGGAGGATGGAGGGGAGAGAAAAAACAGTAAAAAGGTGTTGAGATAAACACGTTTTATGGTTTAACCCTTTAAAAATAAACAGCAAACTTCCTCTAGCCTTACTGGCATCACACCAAGGAAACTGATGCAACATCAGATGAGATAGAATAGATTATTTCTGCCCTCTAGTGGCTGTTCTGTGTCATTACATCCAGGAACTCTTTGCAGACCATTTATTTGTCCCACACACAGAGAGGGGATCAGGGAAATGCTCTCACCCAAGTTTTTCTATAATTCTGCAGCCTGAGGCCTCTAGATGTTGAGTTCATGAGCCGTCTCAGTAAAGTGGTCAACATCGTCCCCGTCATCGCCAAGGCTGATACGCTCACCCTGGAGGAGAGGGACAGCTTCAAACAGACGGTAGGAAGACTTTAGTGTGAAAGGTTTTCTGTTGTTTGTGGATATTTGTGTGACTTATTTTTATACAAAATAACATCCACTTATAGTAACTAGATGGGGACATGGATCCACCTGGTTCAGAGCTCATTGTCTCTCTCTGAGAAGCTGCTGGACCGTTTTCGCTCTACAGGAGGCAGTCTTCCTCCATCAATCCTTTCATCTGTGAATTCCCTCTTACATGATAGAGTCTTTCCATTCTTAGAGAGATGGAAGCAGCTCTGTGGGGAAGTTGGCTCCCGTTTCCTCCAAACACGCCTAAACAGTGGTTGTCCCTGTCCCTCACTGAGAAGACGCGCTGCAGGGCTTGTAGCTGGTTTGTTTTGGTTGGCCACACAGACCCAGTATGACCCTGAAGAGTACTTACTAAAAGCTTTTTCTGCCCTTCAGTTATTCCTATTTCCAACCCACCGTGGAATCTGAACAAATTTTTTTTTTACCCAAACATCGAGCGTCAGCTTGTCCTCTGAGGTGGACGTCTGTTTGAGCTCTGCAGAACGAAGCTGAGGTGGCTTTTTAACTTTATTCATTCAGCTCACGTTATAAACACAACCTTGAGAAAATCGGCAAGAACAAACAATAAAATGGTCACGTTGGAGTAAAAAGTGTTTTAAAAACAAACAGTTTGTCTTTTTAATGCATGAACTTCAGTCATCAGGGTGTGAAAGTCTTTAAAAGTCCAGTTAAACTCTTATGTTCATGCAATCTCTCTGTTTTTTATCAACATATTTGAAATGCATGATTTATTTTAGGCGTAGAGTTGACTTTGTGTGTGTGTGTGTGTGTGTGTGTGTGTGTGTGTGTAGATCAGGGAAGAGCTGCGAGCCAATGGGATCGACGTTTATCCCCAGAAGGAGTTTGACGAAGACGCAGAGGACAGAATGATCAACGACAAGATCAGGGTGAGCTCACAACAATGACTGGTTCTGACTGGATTGATGGGCTAAAGGCTAGTCACAGTAGGTCCAGTTCCAATGTAGATTTCTGATATTTTAGGAGAACTCTAATCTCATTTCATAAATCTTTACACATCTGTAAAGGTCACAGTTATTTCAGATAAATGTATGGCTATTTGCAGCTGACATTCATCGTAGAGCTAGCTCGGTCTCTAATGGAAGAAGATTTAATCAAACTAAATTTGCATGAATCATGAGATTTGAAGATTGGAAGCATTAGTAATGGAGTCCGGTCTCGGTCCGGCTCAGATTTGCTGTTAGCTCTTCAGACACGGTGTGTTTCTCACAGGGTATCCGCGGGTCCTTAAAAAGTCTTAAATTTGCTTTACCAAATTTAAGGCCTTAAAAATCCTTAAAAATGACAAATAATCCTTAAATGCAGTTTCCAAAGGTCTTAAATGACCAAAGACCCAATAAACAAGATATTTTTATTTCTATAAAATTTCGTGAATTTGTAGTTAGTGTTCAGCATTTTTTGTGTACGATGTTGGCGTAAGCGGAACCGTACACATTCAGTTGGTTGTGAAAGGGGTCTATTTTTAGATGAGCACATTAGCTGGTTAAGCTAGTGGGAGCTTGCACCATGGGGAAGTGCAAGTTTAATGGTAACTGGATGGCTAATCCCACGTTTGCGACGTGGCTAACACCGGTTCCAGGCAATAGCTGGAAATTATAGCTTGAATGAAATTTAAAAAAATAGCTTAAATTTGGTCAAAGTGGCCTTAAAAAAGGTCTTAAAAAGTCTTAAATTTGGCTTCCTTAAACCTGCAGATACCCTGTTCTCAGCCATTGGCATTGTGGGATTTCCTTTTAATGTAAAAACGTTATTTGGAGCGGAGTTTTTGCAGCGGAGTAAATGTTAGAAACCAAGTGAACTGGGCCATATTGTTGTGTTTCCCATCAGGAGATGATCCCTTTCGCTGTGGTGGGCAGTGACCAGGAGTACCAGGTGAATGGGAAGAGGATTCTGGGAAGGAAAACAAAATGGGGCACCATAGAAGGTAAATGACAGCTGTGAGCTTAGATCAGTCATCTTCACGCAGACACCACCTTCGTCTGCTCGTTTAGCTCAGCATTAACGTGAAACTGCAAGGAAACCTGAGCTACTCACAACAGAGAATAATTCACATAAACGTGCATCTGTGAGGGTTCCCAATTTCTCTCTCGATTCCGTTTCTATTAGTTCTTAACAGACAGACTTTTATTGTTTCTTTATGCATAAATTAGGTTATAAGGACATCGTGTGGTCAATTTGGGTACTGCAGTCCACGTTTCTAAACAAAAACTGACTCTCTCACTCCCATTCCATCAGTTTCATGTTTGTTGCCAGTTACAGATCAGCGCCAGAAGATGACAAGTGAAGACGAGGCATACACAGAAAATTGGGAAGTGTCATATCTGATATTGGTACTTTTGCACTTAATACACATTTTACAGGAGTGTGCTTCTGGCATTAGAGGGGTTGGCCATCTTGCTGATGGCTTGCTGTTAAAGGGGTACTTTGGCTCAAGTTTTAATTAAACTTGAGCCAGTATGTGCTAAAATGACCCTTAACAGGTAGTGTGCACGTACAGCATGTGCGCCTCGTGCACGACCCTACTATTGAAGCTGGCGTTACGCTTTTGGCCTGACCCCGGGTTTCCACAGGGGCCGTCAGCAGCACGTTACTGCAGCAGCACGTCTTGCTCGCGTAAGCTGCTGCTTGGCCCTTCCCACGAGACGCGAAGCAGCAGGGGAGCAGCTGTCACCGACAGAGCACGAAGTCACACGAGTGACTTTGTCAGTAAACACAACAACAAGCAGGAGAAAATTACAACATGGTTTGTGTTTTATGTTCTGTCCGTTTTATAATCGCCAATACGGACCTGAAAAACAAAGGAGACCGCTAGCTAGGTGATAACTTCTCACGGGGCCGAACAGTTAGTAACATTTTTTAAAAGTAAAGCAACCGGAAGGCAGTACGTTCTTTATTCTGAAAATCTCGGGAGCTTCTCTCCATTTCTGCGTCCGATTTCCTGTCTTTCCTTCCCCAAAAATGTCGAACTTGACCCGTTTCAGAGGCGTTGTGCGTAGAAAATAGAACCGGCGCGTAAAGGCCGCGACATGCTGCTCCTGAGACGCGGCCGACTCGCGCTGCTGACGGCTCCGGTGGAAAAGGTTCTGTTGACCACAGCGGTTCCTATCAGCAGCTATGACGTGCTGCTGCAGTAACGTGCTGCTGACGGCTCCTGTGGAAAGCCGGGGTGAGGGGGCAATCGCGAGCATAAAAATTAAAAACTCCGTAAAATCCCTTTAAACCACAACAGATAGCTACATCTTATAAGCTCCACTCTCCCTTATTCCAGTCAGAATTGACAAAGCTCCTCGGAGAAGCAAAACGTCTTCAAGAAACCAAAGAAGTCCAGTTGCCTTCATTTGAACCCTTTTGGAGTGACTACATCCCTCTTAATGCCTGATTTATACTTCTCCGCCTGCGTCAGCGTGGAGACACACACCGCCAAGTGAAGTCGGTGCAAAAGCTCTCCAATGGGCTCACAGAGGGTGACGAAGATGTGCCCAAAATCTTAAACATCAGTTGAACGTGAGAAAGACCGCAAGCCTGTGATTGGTCGGGACGCCAGCGGCAGACCCAGAATAGGCTGAAGAACGCGTCACGAAAAAAGCCTGAAATGATGAACGTTTACCCTCCTTAACTGAAGGAGAACAAAATATGGAGCAAATGTGGACAGAAATGACAGGACACGTGGGTTTAGAGGTGGCGACCGCATGAAGAGGTGGAAGAGAATGAAGGACAAAACAGTCTGTGTTATAAAGTCACTGAAACTTAAACACATTAGTAAATACACTATTGTGGACTGGATACATGAGTGTCATGGTGGAAGGATACCACAGAAAAGTGCCACGCCCCCTGTTGTCCTGGAGGGGAATTGCTTTGACACAACTCTGCTGCCTGTGCAGAAGTTCACATGTGAACATGGACGTAATTTTCACTTTAGAAGTGGGGTTGGGGGGGGGGGGGGGGGGTGGGGGGGTGTATCTTTACAGTATGCTCTAATGGGAAACAGGCTTCAACACAAACGGTTGTTTTCCACTTGGTCCTAGAGCTCAACCAGTGTCAATTTAATATTGCGTAATATTGTTTTTCGATGGTAAAAAGTGCAGGGGTCAAAACTTGACTTTGGAAAAAGTGGGGGGGACATGTCCCCCCCCCCCCCCCCCCCCCCCCCCCCAAAATTACGTCCATGCATGTGAAAACCTTTCCGACACTCCTGTGTGCATCCCTCCGTTACGGAGCTCACGGAGAAGTATAAATCAGACTTAAGTTTATTTATTTATTTATTCATTTATTCAGTCATTCGTTCATTTATTTATTTATTTATTAAGGAGAAAGACCGACAACCCCCCAACCAGCTGAGAAGGAAAAGAGTTTCAGTGTAACCTTCCTTCCAACACGATTAAGACATTAGACAGTTTTAGGATTATTTCACTGTAAAATTCTCACATATTGCTCCGTTGAGCAAAGAAGCTATCCAGACCAACCCGACTTTCTGTGTAAAACAAATTGCCTTATAGTTTAATTAACTATTCTTAACTAGATTATTAGTAAACGTTCTACCCGACTAGTAAACTACTTCAATAGAACCATGTCTGATGACATGAACTAGGCTAAACGATCCTAAAAAGCAGCACATCGTGTCCGTTCTGAAGAAATTCTTAGACAAAAGCACCCAAGCCCACATCTAAAGCCCTGCGAGAAAGCAGTGTGTTTTATTTACTCAGGATATTTTTGCCCAGCGTAGAAATGTGTTTGCTGATCCGAGACATTTAAGTGTGACAAAAGAATAAATCTGAGGTGTCAGAAAAACATATTTGTTATTTATATGTTTGATCTCCAGTTGTGGCCTCACTTCTGAAGGATTAAGTTCTTTAATCTCGTAAACCTTCTGTAGGCCCCCTTTTGGACTTTTGAAGCCTTTTTATGTGAGAATCTCTTAACACCTCCACAGAGCTGCAGGTGAGAGAGGTGAAGCTGTGAGACAAATGCTGCTTTGTCCGGCTGAAAGCACAATAAGTGCTTTCTACCAAAACGGAGCAGCAGGAGGAGAGACGATGCTGCAGCACAAACTAAACCTAAAAAGCAGAAATCCAGAGTTGTGTCTTTTTCTGATGTTCAGGGTGGAGACATTTCTTTTATTTTCTAGATATTTTCTAGAGGGATTATGGGATATGTGGAATCGCCCATGACTGGTTAAGTAGTTATTTGACCAATAGAAATCAATTTGTACAGTTAGATGATGAAATTTCAGATTCACTAGAGATTACACACGGTGTCCCACAGGGGTCAGTGTTGGGCCCTAAGCTTTTTATTCTATATATAAATGACATTTGTGATGTGTCCAAAGTATTACAGTTCATATTGTTTGCTGATGACACGAATATATTTTGTTCTGGAAATGATTTAGAAATTATTATTCAAACTATGGTTTGTGAAATGTCTAAACTTAAGAAGTGGTTTAATGACAATAAATTATTTCTCAATTGGAATAAAACAAAATTCATGGTTTTTGGTAACAGAAAAACTAATGATTTAGTTACGTTGTCTATTGATGGTTTTTTAATTGATAGAGTAAATGAAGCCAGATTCTTAGGGGTTCTCTTGGACCATAAACTTACTTGGAAATCCCATATAAAATATATAAAACAAAAAATATCCAAAAGTATTGGAATTTTAAATAAAGTCAAAGGTTTTCTAGAAATTTCAACGCTTCAGACATTATATTACTCATTTATCTTACCTTACTTAACTTATTGTATTGAGGTTTGGGGCAATACGTATAAAACAAACACTAATCCTTTGTTTCTGTTACAGAAGAAAGTTTGGTGAATTCTATATAAAGCAAATCCAAGAGAACATACCAACAAATATTTTGTTCTATCTAAAATTATGAAATTCAAAGACTTAGTTAACTTGAAAATTTTACTAATTATGTTTAAGGCTAGAAATAATTTGCTGCCAACTAATCTACAAAGGTTCTTTGTTTTGATCCAAAAAATGATAAGAGTAGAAAGAAACCAGAGTTTAAAAGGGTATTTGTTCGTACTACATTAAAGCAAATGTGTATTTCAATATATGGTGTGAAATTATCGAATAACCTGGATGATGAATTAAAAAAATGTATAAAGATAAAATGCTAAAATCGTATGATTTGGTGAGTTGAGGACGGAGGATTAATGTTTCAGTAGTGATAATATTTGTGGAAGTAAGAGAGCGGTTTATTTTTGTGTATAAGGCTATTTTGTACTTTTTGTTAAAGGGGGTACGTCATATAAGATTTTTTCTTCTTCCTCCCCCTATTTCACTCGAATGCTCATATTCTGATTTGAAGTTTGTATTTTTAAACTTTGAGTGAAATAAATTATTGAATTGAACATTTTAGGAAGGTGTGTGCGGGCGATGCAAAGTAGGACAGCAGTTACATTTCTTCAGCAACTTCTCAAAGCTGCAGCAGCAGGAAAAAGCAGCGTTTCAGCTGAGTGCGATTTATTACAGCACGCTCCCTTGGTGCCTCTAATCAGCGCTCACAGGCTGAGCAGTCATTCCCCTCTCCTCCCCTTCAAAGTGAATTTAATTTCCTGCTCTGAATTTCAAAGCTTTTACATAAATGGCGCCCTCCTTTATTTCATTTTCCACCCTTGACATAATCTCTAATTCAAACATGTGTTGGCCCCTAGCGGAGGCACCAGCGACTTGTCATTGGGAGTTTGTTAAAACGTCTCATTTAGAGTTCTCCACTATGGAGGACAGATGGGATGCAATGAACTCCGCCCGGGCCGAGGAGGGTGCATCGACATAAATATACTGGACATCTCCTTTCCATAGGCTCCAATATCACGTTTTTGAGGCCAAATGGGAGGTGGCCACTACCGCCATTTTGACCGTGTCACAGGTTCCGTCAAGCCCAGACAATTCCACAAAAGGGAGGAGCTGAGGGTGAGGCTGTAAGGCTAGGATCAACTGACGACACCCGGTCGAACTATCTACAAGCTAACCTGAAGCTAACCCTGGCTAACCCAAAGCTAACACGGAGGTGGGAGCTAAGCTAACGGAGGTAGCAACCTAGCTACAACCGGAGTTAACTGTGCACAACACCAGAGCTTCTGAGTCAGAGATGCGCAGAGCCGCCGCTGGGGAGAACCGGGTGGAAAGGTTTCTATCCCAGAGCTCCACAACACGTCACGTGGGTCTGAGGCGGCGGTCACGTGGGTCTGATGCTCATTAATTATACAGAATTTTAGGCTTTTAATACACTTAAACAGAAGAGTGAGAAAAAATTCACCCCCCTCAGAGTTGTCATGAGTGTAAACTAGATCATTTAAACCAAAAACATGTTCTGGTACCAGGCTGTAAACATGTTTATATCTGCTGTGAAATTGGTATTTTTAACATGGGAGTCAATGAGGATTTGCTCACTTCTGACACCAACCCCTAGTGGATGAGGGTGGAACTGCAATTTATGGTACTTCCGGGTTTGATTCAATTTTGGAGCCGCATTGTGGAGGCTTGGGAGGGTGTGTTATCTCAGCTTACGTTAAAGAGCAAGTCAACCCCTACCAGATTCTAACTCAACTCCCACTTCATGTTTGAAAAATGCAACAAATGCTGTTGCCTGGCAGACCGAGAGGGCGGAGCTGCTAACAAATACACACACACACAGGCTCACGACAGCATTGTGACATCATAATATACCAGTTTACATCATAGCATACTTCTTAGCCAATAGCAGTGGCAGATTTAAATTAAAATACAGTGCAGAGTTTTTACCTGACAACGGCACAACACTGCCAGTTTTAGGCAGAATATTTAAATTTTAACTAAGATGCACTGAAATGCCAAATTATTGACAAAACGTGTCTGCAGCATGATTAGACACTCGTTCATTTAGTTTATCAGCAAAAAAAAAATATTTGGGGGTGACTTGCTCTTTAAAGGCTGCAGACTGGTGGCAGATCACCCTCAGTTGACGTGTGAGCAACACTGCCATCTGTTGGTGGGTTGGGGTGATGTGTTTAAAAAGCATTCAGAAATTCATGATTTTCCTGTTTTCCTCTTTTGTAGTTGAGAATATCGCGCATTGTGAGTTTGCTTACCTGAGGGACCTCCTCATCAGGTGGGAATCTATCTTCTGTTTGACCTTATTTCATGTGTTGAAAAACAAAACAGGTGAGACTGTAACATAAGGCAGTCCCAGTGAGCAGCCCTGGATCCATAAAAACCTTTATTCTCTGAAAGAATCATTACTAATAACAGTCCTTCAGATGAGCTGCATTCCTCCTGTTGCAGCATTTCCTCTCAAGCTTTGACTGTACATCTATAAACTTGAAGCTGCAGCCATTCAGAAGCAAGTTTCTATCAGAAACAATCACATTACCTGCTGTAGATGGCTCCCTGAAAAGCCTTTGTTTGGAGAAATAGTGTTTATGATTGATGAGCTAACAGCTAGATAAAGTTCAAAGTGCAAAACTGCTTTTTGAATCTCACCACATTTAAACAGAGTTTATTTTAATGACTGGATTTACACATCTTATGGTGCATCCCAACAGGCTCTAAACCAAATTATTACCGTAAATCCTCTAATACAGGCCTGTATTCAATTAAAGGCCGGGTCTCATATTTTGGCCAGTGTCGGAGTCGGCGGAGGTGAATAATGGCCGGCCTCTTATTGTGGCCGGGTGGAATGTGGTAACAAGCAAGTACGGGGGGCGGTTGTGTCATCGTCTCACTTTTGATTTGCCAGTGATAGACCGCGAGGGTAACTAACCGTGCGGAGACGAAGAGGAGGCGAAAATTTAATATCAAGTTCAAAGAGAACGTGCTGATTATGCTACAGCACACTGGGGAGCAGTAGGGGTTGTATGAACTAGTCGACTTCACTATAGTGACTTTTTATGCCTGTCATCGACTAGTCGCTGTCACGTGATAATGACCGGCAAGATGCAGCCCTCGGAAAAGACAGCAGCCTGCTGTCAGCAGGTGACAAGCTCCTGCGCGTCGGGAGGCAACGCGCTGTGCCAGAGCGTCGGTACTGACACACGATCGTTCATGTCGGCTCATTTCCTTTAATAACAGGCAGGACAGAAAAATAGTCAAATAAAAACAAGTTAGTTTTTGTACCTGCTGGTTGCAACAAACAGACACCATTGAAGGTAATCAGAAGTGAGGAACAGAAAATGAAATAATTATTTTAATGTTTAGAGCAGCAGGAACTCCGAGAGGCTGCAGGCGCATCAGTGAGTTTGCGGCCGCTGCGCAGGGGGAGGGGGGAGAGGGCTGAAGCAGAAACTACCGTTGTTAAAAGAAATGTGTTTAACTTTGAAAATGTGGGCGCAATTTTAATTGTCAAAAACTCCAGCGAACCATTAGTTCATTTTGCTCAAATAGAAATTGAGGCCTGCCTCTAATTCTGGCCCGCCTTCCAATAAAGGCCTGGAGCTTGATGAGCTTGAGTCAAATACAGACCCGGGCCTGTATTAGAGGATTTACGGTATATTAAAAAAACACCATGACTCATAAAAATGTAATTATATATTTTTACACCTCTAAAGTTTTTACGGAACATGCTTTTTGCGTGGAATTTTGCAGATTTTTGTTTGAATACCAGCAGTAGAAGCTAGCCGTGGCATTAGTGGCAGGACTCCTTTTATGTTTCTGTAAAAGTGACAGTTTTCGGTAAGACTTACAGCTGTGTGATAGTTTGATAGTAATGCTGCAGAAATCGCCGCGACATTTGGAGCCATTGTTAAAAAGCAGCAAAACATTCTGGTATTGGCTGGTTTGGACTAGTTTTTTCCTCATCAGGCATAAAACTTATTTTTGCATTCAGGAAGTTCTCTACCGTGGGTAAGAGTTTGATGGACCTTTCATACGGAAGGACACTTCTGTGTGTGCAGCTCAGGGCAACGCTTGATGCTGGAGGCTAAAGGACCATTTTTACTTGCAGGACACACATGCAGAACATCAAAGACATCACAGGGAGCATCCACTATGAGACGTATCGCGTCCGGCGGTTAAACGAGTCCAACCCCCATCTCATTTCTCAGCCGCCCAACCATCTGGACGCGCAGTCCAAGGCTAACGGTCAGCTGGAGGAGCAGGCCGGCGCCCTGCAGGCTAACGGAGTGGCCCCTCAGCACGCAGCCTTGTCCCGCGAGATGTAGGGAGCACCAGTTCACCCTAGCAGGACACGACCTGGCACAGAACGTCCACTCTGTCATGCCCTGTTCACACACACACACACACACACACACACACACACACACACACACACACACACACACACACACACACACACACACACACACACACACACACACACTGAATCCCTTCTTTGGTCGTCTCTTACCGTGTCACAGCTGATGAATTAGTTACAGATGTCTCACTCCTGAGTGACCTTATGACCAGAACAGCACCAGAAGAAACAGCGTCCTGTGTACAGAAAACCTTTGACTGAACCATCTAAAAGCCTGGTTTGTTTCGTGCTGTGGTGTATAGTTTGTATAGTTACCAGGGTTACCGTAGGGACGTTAGCTTTCTAGTGTTTGTGACTAGCTTTGCCGATGTCGTTGACACCTCCGCACTGTGAAATGGAAAAAGAATGAGTCAGAAGTGTGGAGCAGTTTTTGAAAATGAGCCCCATAGTCATTCTTATTCTGACGTTTTAAACCCCTTCCTGCCTATTTCTATATAAAGCCGTAAGTGTTTGTGTACAACAGCCATCCTTTCTTGCTCCTTTACTGTGTATTTTTATTGCTTATAAATGTTCTAATGTTAATGTAGAAGGCTGGGGTGCAGCTGTTTGTCTCACACAGTCGTTTTGTTCACTTTCTGGACTCGAACCAAATACGTCTGTTTGATCTAACGAAAGAAAGCACATACAGTATGTAGCGTTGACATATGGGTCTGTATTTATATGTGACGTTTGATGTAGTCCATTTAATTCCTCCGTTTGCCTTCCTAAAGTTTGTTTCAGGTCAGAGACGGCAGCATCAAATGTGGGTTTAGACTGTCTTGCAGCACGTTTCCCGTTTCCCAGCCTGCACTGTGTCAAGCATCCAATAACTTTAGCGATTAGAGCTAATCCTGCTAATAAATCACATTTCCATGAGTAAGTCTGCAGCGTTTTACTGCCAGTTATCTGTTACAGCTGTGAGGAAGAATCTGTGCCTGAAACCTTAAAATGATGCCAATCTTTGAATAAATGCAACAGTTTCTGCAGCTAGTTACTATTTTTGAAACAAAATATTTGATAAAACACAAACTCAAGGGATGTTTAATAGACTCGGTGTATTTATATCCTTCTGATTTCCAAATGAAAAATAATTTTGAGTCGAAGCAAACTTATTTTCCAAATTACAATAAAAAATGTCTTCTCTAGAAAAAGTGATCGGATTCCACTTTGTTTACTGTTGTATAGTTCTTGTGTACTTTGTTATGCCATTGTAGACTAAGGTTTTATCCTCGATTTGCTATCTGAAATGAATAAAGATTGATATTTTTACCGTTTGAGAGTGAATGTTTTTATTGTGAGGTGTGAAACAGATGGACTACTAAACTCAGGAAAAAATACCAAGATATAAATTCATTGATCCCAAAGTGGGGAAATTTGTGCATTCATCACTAGTAGAAAAACGACACGTTTAAATCCTTTGAAGCTGGTTTCTGCAGAAAGATGAGCAATAAGTATCTTACCTGTTGTAGATGGCTCTTAAAGCCTGTCTGGAGAAGTCTTCTGAGAAGATTAACAATCTACTGGCTTAAATGTCTTAAAGCAACACTACCCACTAGTCCCATCTGCAGGCCCGGCGTCAAGGCCGGGCCTGGGCGGGCCGGGCCCGCCCATTTGCCGATCTGGCCCGCCCAGGACAGATTACAGCACCGCATGCAAATGTATTGGCTCGAGACGATCAACAGAGGGCGCTCTAGGTTACTAATCGACAGTTTTAGCTGCAGTAGAAGAAGACGCTTTGGTACAGTAGCTTGCTAAAATGGATATCAGAGCTTGGTTTAGCAAACAGAAAAACAATGCTAGCACAAGCAGGGATGACGCATCATCAAAAAAGCCAGTGCAGCCAGAAGTTGCAGCTACAAGCGCTTCTGTTCCTCTTCTCTCCGTGCCTCCAGCACAGTCTCAGCAGGCAATCGCGCCACCGAGTGGCAGCAGCACCAACCTAAATCACTGTTCAGATGACCTCGGGGTGGATAAGCCTAATCAGGTGCGCCTGGAAAATTATCCAGTTCGACTTTTCTCTGGGAAAAAACGCAGTTTTTCTTCATCATGGTACCAAAATAGAACATGGTTGGAGTATTCAGTGAAAACAGATGCAGCATACTGTTTCCCCTGCAGACAGTTTAGTTCTCATTCCTCATCAAACTCATTGTTACCATTTTGAATTCAGGGGTGTCTGCTGTCCTTTTTATTCAAATGTTTTAAAACGCATATTAAAGTTGAAACTGTTTTTGAACCATCTTAAATACAGGGTTGTCTGTTCTCTTTTTAGAAAGAAAACACTTTAGATCAGGGGTGTCAAACTCAAACTCACAAGGGGCCGAAATGAAACTCTGGGACGGAGTCGAGGGCCAAACTTAATATTTTTTGAAAAAGTGACGGCAAATTTGCACATTTTCTTTATCAACATTTATGCAATTTTGAACCTTTAAATTTGGAAACAAACTTATTTCTGCATTAACACTGAATGTGGAATAACCAAATTAAACACAAGCAAGTCAGTTTTAAATAAAAGGCATCAGTGGTATTCATTACTTGTGGTATAATCAGCATTTTTAAAATCTATTCAGGATTTATGTTTTCTTGTTTATTCATTTTTCTTATTTTTTATTCTCCTTTTTTTCTCCTGTAATACGTGTCATCGCTGCTGTGACGTCTAGCTTTCCCCACTGAGGAACAATAAAGGGATTTTCTATTCTATTCATCTATCTGCAGCCTTTCCACTTCCTGTTTACTGTAGGTTAAATCTTTTCTCACGGGCCAACAACAAAATAAAATATCATTTTATCTTAAATGAAAATGCAACATCTCACCTGTTAACTTTCATGTTTTGGAGCAGAAAAAGAGCATAAAACCAACATATTTAAAGCTCAGTTTGCTCCACTGGTTAACTGTGATGCTCACCTGTTCCAGCCAGATACCTGCATCATGGGGTTGATCTGAGCTGAGGAGGAGACTCCTGTTGTTTTGTTCATCTTCATCATAATAATGACAACATTAGATGACAACAGGTGCTCACATAGGTTTGTGCTGATGAACATGTCTGAGCAGCTTGACCACGTTGTTGTGTGTCGGGGAGGAAACACAACCACAGAGCCGTGCTGGTTTGAGCGTGTCGCTGCTCGCTGGAGTTATATCGGCTCTGTCTGGAAGTTAGTTTGAAAACTTTCTCTTTAAGTCGTGAACACATTACTGAGCGGCTAGAATCTCCGTTTCTGGGCTTCAACGTCAGAAAACGCTGAGTGAACTCGGCGCTGAGTGAGAGGAGTGGTTTGTCCGAGACAGCGGAGCTGCAGAGACACCCAACTACCTCTGACTGCCTCAGCGCTGAAAAAACACAAAGGAGGGGGCGCGTCTGCTCCGTGCTGGCACCGCAAAGCATCATGGGAGTTGTAGTCTTTGCGGTAAAATCGGCCAGCGGGCCAGTTTTAATATATTTTTGATATTTATCTCGCGGGCCACATAAAAATGCTCCGCGGGCCGCATCTGGCCCGCAGGCCTTGACTCTGACATATGTGCTCTAGATCTTCTAAATCTTGTTTAGAAGACCTAGCTTACACTTCTTACCAGCTGGTAGCAGTAACGCACCAAGTCAATGTTTACCAAGAAGAAGAAGCACGCAGCCAAGAAGTAGCATGCTAACCTGATGCTAACTAGTATTCGTGATGTAAACATTATGAGAAATACGTGCAAAAAGAAGAATGTACTAAGGTATCAAGCTGCAGGGCAGGATTTGGAAGAAGACTTTTGGACTAAGTACGTTATTGGGGAACATTAACTGGACGTTAGGATTGTTTTGAGATGGTGACTCTGTGGTGCGCAGGCGCAGCTAAGAACGGTGAGTTGCAAGTATTGGTTCAGTAAAATTGGTTACTTTGTCTTAATTTTTGATTGCATCTTTAATTGGCATACATAATCGGAATAAAACAATGAAGAATCTTAGCTTTTCAGTTAGTTATGTAGAACAAGTTGGTGACGCAAAACGACGGATTTGACCCGGAAGTATATGTATGTAACGTCCACCAGACAGATTATAAACATGCAAAGGGGTTGAAAAAAAACACGGTTTACTGGGCCCCCCCAGAAAAACCCACTGCCCCTCCAGGTGAAGTCCTCCGGCGCCGGGTCTGCCCATCTGGTTGAAAGCTGAATTACAACTGTTGTGAACAACCCTGCTGTAGCTAGCGCTAACAACAAGCTAATGCTAACATGAGTCAACTGATGCTAGATTAGCCATGAAGTATAAAGATCCACACTGTTGTACAAAAAATATTACAAGTCCTGCAGCAACAAAGCCAGGTCACCATCAGTCTGTGATTTCATAGCCTCCTTCAGATCCCTAGACGAGTGTAGGCTGCACCGATGTTAACCAGTGCTGCCACGGTTAGTCAACGTGGTACGTTGTCGTCCACAAACAAAATAGTCGACAGTAAATGTAATCGTCGACGCGTCGTTTATTCTATGAGCATTTTTTTTAAAATCTCACCTACTGCTAGCCTAGTGAACTAGACCAAATTCTTGCTTTGCAAAGAATGGTCTAGGCACGCTCCATTGGAACCTCAGCAGCTCCTACCAGAACTCTGGCTAGCCAATCACAGCTCTCTAGAGGGGTTTCAAACACATAAAGAGCTGTGATTGGTCCATAATGGTGGGCCAATCATAGTGCTCTATCTGCTTAGTGAACAAATCACAGAGCTTTATACACAATGTGGGCCAATCAGGGCACTCTATATGCCTGGTGGGTGGGATGATGCAACAGAGTGAAACAAGAGTATGTCACATTCATTGTCCAGTGGAATGCGGAGACCATTTGAAAGACAACGGTAGAACCCGCCCCACAACCGAGAGCCGTCAATGGAGCGATGCCAGACTAAATAATACATTTATTTTATTTATTTAGTCTGGCTTGCCAGGCTAACCTACTGCAGCATCTTCTGCCACTTTCTACTTTTCTTCTTGAGGAACTTGCGCAGTAGTCGCCATCTGAGTCAGACGCTGCTTTCAACTTGAGGCACATGTGCAGTAGTGGCCATCCAGATCAGCCTTCGAGTCCGAGTCACCAGAGAAACAAGACATCATGGTGTCCCAGCGACGTAGCTCAAAAGTTTGGGAGCATTTTACAAAGACAAAGGAAAAGCACAGAGTGCAAAATCTGCAAAGTAAAACTTTTACGGGAGCACATTGGCATCGGCGGAGAACGAAGAGTTGTCTCTGTAAGCTAATTACCTCTCTTTAGCTGCTAGCATAAACAGAGAGTTACTTCTATCTATAGTTGTAACAGCAACAGTTGTGACAGTGATTTTAGTACCTTTAGAACACAAATGTATTTCATGTATTTGCTCCAACGTTACAAACGCTAATGATTTATTTTATGCCGCTACATTGCAGTGTTAAAAAAACCCATTCCCCCAATCAGTGGACACATTTGTTACGAAGCCAAACACGTGCAGCCTTTTAATCATGTTGGTCATGGACTTGAGACCCTTGGTCAGCGATCAAACTTTCAAAGAGATGATCAAGCAGTTCAACCCAGGATACCACAACAACTACCGACCAGGCCAATCCCACTTCACCACGATGATGGAAAGGGAATATGAAACAACCTTTGAGAAGGTATTTGGGTGTGTGTGTGTGTGTGTGTGTGTGTGTGTGTGTGTGTGTGTGTCTCATTCTCTCCCTCTGGACACAAATAAAATAAATAATAATAGAATTGTTTTGCATTTTATGATAAAATAAGTTTGCTGGCTGAGCAATAAAGAAACTAACATTGATTAAAGCATAATATATATTTTCTCTGTTTTAAATCTTAGCCTAGTTGATCTGATATGACAGAATTATTAATTAGGTAAATAAACTTTTAAATATTTAATTTTTCAGGTAAAGCAGATCCTCCGCTGTCTATGGCTCCCTGACCCTGACTGCTGCGTGGACCAGCTGTGCAACCTCGGCGTGTCCTGCCTGGTCCTGAGTGTGGTTTGGAACATGGTGAGTGAAGCTGGTGGAGTGAAAATGAGGATTGTTTCTCCACACTTGCACAGAAAAGATTTAGCCACACCAAGCTGGCTAAATCGTTTCTGTGCACCCCTGCCACTTCCACTATGATTTAAGTAAGTAAGTAAGTAAGTAAGTAAGTAAGTAAGTAAGTAAGTAAGTAAGTAAGTAAGTAAGTAAGTAAGTAAGTAAGTAAGTAAGTAAGTAAGTAAGTAAGTAAGTAAGTAAGTAAGTAAGTTAGTTAGTTAGTTAGTTAGTTAGTTAGTTAGTTAGTTAGTTAGTAAAA